GTGGGTTTGAACTGCCAGCCTTCTGGTCAGCAGTCAAGTGCCTTAGGCACTATGCTACCAGAGCTCCTTACTCATTACTTTAGAGTTGGTAAACTTTTCTTTGATAAGACAAAAGAAGCATTAATTTGTTTTTTTTTTAAATTGAGAAATTGGAGAGTATCAAATAAAAAAATTCTATTCTCTTCTTCAAAAAATGAAAAGGTACACTGTAAGTTGGGAAAAGTACTCCTAACACATTTATTTGACAAAGTATTTTCTTCCTGAATATATAAAGAACTCTTACAACTCAATAATAAAGAAGTTAAAAAATATGAACAATATCTTTAAAAAAAAAGATCTACAAATATTCAATAAACATAGAAAAAGATATAACATTATTAATCATCAGGAAAATGCAAATTAAACAATGATATGCTTCATCATGCCCATTATAATTTCTAAAATGAAAGAGACATTGGCCAGAAGGTGGAGCACCTTCTGTTACATTGATGGTCATAGTATTAAGTGTCACGTTAAGAAACTATTTGTCAGTTTCTTATAACATATACCTACTCTGTGATTTAGCTCCACTTCTTGGTATTTACTCAAGAGAAATGAAAAGTTCTGTTTATGAAAAGACTTATACAAGAATGTTCCTAGCAGCTTTATTTCTAACTACCAAAACTGTAAACAATCCAAATGTCTATCAATCATAGAATGGATAAAGAAACTGTGGTATATTCATACAATGCAATATACCACTTAGACAATAACTTAGATGAGTAGTAAAAGCATTTCATATTCAGTATAATAAGCAAGACGCAAAAGAATACATATTGCATGATTAAGTTCTAGAACAGGCAAAACTAATGTATCTTGATAGACATTAAACAATGCAAGTTACCTGGCTTTAGAGTAAGAATACTTCATTGGTTTGAAGAGTTTAAGATGGGAATTTCTGAGGGTGATGGAAAAGTTCTGCATCTTGACAAGTGGAATAATTACATGGTTAAATAGTGTTTATCTACTTTATACTCATGTGTTTAATATTGCACTTATATAATTCCCTTTTTTTTTTTCCCAAAATACCTATTATATCCCCTAATGTTGCCAAGGGAGCTCTGGTAACATAGTGCCTAAGACACCTGTCTGCTAACCAGAAGGCTGGCTATTCAAACTCATCAGCCACTCCTCAGAAGGAAGGTTGGGCAATCTACTTCTGTAGTGATACTGCCTCAGAAACCCAAGGAGGGGTCGCTGTGAGTTGAGTCCAACTCAATGGCACATAACAACAACAACAACAATGTTACCGAACTCTAGACTGGATTATAGTTTAATGCTTAGAGTTTTGTAGAGTTCTCTCTTTACTGTCCTCTCTTATAAAGACTATGTATGTTATGTTTGTCTTATCTCTTGAATCTCTTCCCTTTTTTCGTAAAGAGAAAGTTGAGTACTTGCTATGTTCCAGGTTGTAGTCTAAGCACGCAGCGTGTTTCTTTAACAATGACATTGTGAACTCTTGGATTTTTGGGACATCATGTTAATAGTCACTCAAAGTACTGAGCCCTATCAGACATGTGGTACATGACTCCCTCTGTCATGTTCAATAATAAAACCCAAACACACAAACCCACTTCCATTGAGTCTATTTCAACTCATAGTGACACTGTAGGGCAGAGTAGAATTGCCCCATAGGGTTTCCAAGCCTGTAAATCTTTACAGAAGCAGATTACTTCATTGTTCTCTCACGGAGCCTCTGGTGAGTTCGAACTGCTGACCTTTTGGTTAGCAGCCCAGTGCTTTAACCACAGCACCACCAGAGCTCCTTCAATAGTAAAATGTTCAGCCAATTATCCGCAGTTATATTAATTTAGCATATAAACTTAGGTAAGATGTATATGACATAAGACAAAGGTAGGATAGGTGAATGTTGGATGACTCTTCCTTAAGGATAAGTAGCAGATTATAAATTCTTAACATTACTAAATATTGGAAAAAGTAAGATTTTAGAAGTGTGATTAAATGTAAACTTGAGAATACTGACCAAATTTGTTTGAAATTACCTAACACATACTCATTCATTCATTTTTCCTCTCACATGCACACACACACACTCACACACACAAACACATATCAATATACAAATATATGAAGCATATTTAATATCAATTTTCCTATTTTTCAACATTTCAGCAGGAGGATCAAAGCTGAGAAAATAAGTAATAAATACTAGTTTTTCACAAGAAAATGGGATAAATTAACATTTTCCTCACTTCTTTGTATGAGGCAAGTATCTTACATGTATTATTTCCTTCAGTCCTTTAAGAAATTCTAAAAGGTGGGTATTAGTATCTGAATTATATACTTGAGTAAACTGAGATTCAGGGTAAATGACTTGCTGAAGATTCAAAACTAGATTCAAAGCTAGATTTGATGAATTCTAAAATCTGTGCCCTATTCATCTCCAAACAGCACTTCCTCCTTTAGTTTGAGGGATGTATTCTTTTGGGTGAGAATAGTTATCTTTCTGTGTAGCGATGATATATATTAAAAAATCACCAACAAACAAACAAAATCCTTTTCTGTAGAGTTGATTCCAACTCATAGTGACCCCATGTGTTACAGAATAGAACTGCTCATAGTTTTTCCAGAAGCAGACTATCAGAGCTTTCTTCCACAGTGTCAATTGACATTAGTAGTCAAGTGCAAACCATTTGCACCACCTATGAACCTGTTTTACATTCAAGGGATAATATATTCCTATATTATGTTTACTTTTGTTAAATATGCCAGTGTACCTCATATATCATGTTGAGAGCATGCACTTCACTATATCTGCCACCAAATCATGAGTTTTATTCTCATGGATGTGCATCAGAAGGAAGCTGGAGGAATGGGTCTGGGAGAAATAATGAGATGATAATATCAACATTTTATTCCATTAATCTCGAACACCATCAAAATCAAACCTAACCCACTTCCGTTGAGTCAATTCCATTTCATAATGACCCTACATGACAGAGAAGAACTGCCTTATAGATTTTCCAAGGCTATAAATCTTTACAGAAGCAGACTGCCTCATCTTCCTTCCATGTAGAGGCTGGTGGGTTCAAACAACCATCCTTGTGGTTAGTCTTCACCATTCACCAGAGCTCCTATCTAGTCATACTACTCATCAGAAATTCAATGATAGCATGTCTTTATTCTCATAGATGACACCATTTTCCAAAGACATCTCTTACTAATACAATGATTCAATGATAATAATTTTACTCTTAATGTTGTTACTTTCCAAATTATGGTATGACAGAATGTTTGAGAAGAAATATAATTTGGTAAAGACAGGACTTATTACATGATTATATGTTTTTTTCTCTGACTTATTTAAAGAGTATAGTGCTATATATGAAGTAAAAAAGAAATTCAGGAGAAGAGCCAAGATAATTTATATATTTTGAAGAACTGCTATTAGCATTGAACAAGCAAATAGCCTAAAGTGATATCTGAGGCACACTGCCACATCTTTTCCTCTGAAAAAAAAAAAAAAAAAAAAAGAAATGATTTTAATACCATTAGATTATTTTTCCTAGATATTTTCTAAATTGAAATATAAATGTAAAATAAATATATTGAAATATAAACTTTATGTCATATTGAAATCCCATTAGTATTTCTGATTAAGTAAGTTGAATAAACCTACTTTGTACAAAATACTGCATTTCAGAGGAGACATTTCTAAAGACATACCAATATGGCTCATTCCTGGTTGTCTTTTTATAAACTTTTCTAATCTGAAGAAACTGAGTATTCATTGTCATAGAAGGAAGAAGCAGATGAGATCTGTAGGCAGCAACAATGCAAAGCAATGCACTGCCCTCGAGTCGGATGCCATGCATAGCGACCTCTCCTTGTGTTTACGAGGCAGTATCACTATGGAAGTAGATTGCCCAACCTTCCTTTTGAGGAGTGGTTGGTGGGTTTGAACTGCCAACCTTCTGGTTTTCAGTCAAATGCCTTAAGCACTGTGTCACCAGAGATCCCTTTATAGGTAGCAGGAAGATTTCTAGAAATTTTGCTTTTTAGTTTGCATTTCAGGCCAAATCATTTGCTTTTTAATGTGTAGTCTTTATTTCTTGCTGCCTTTTCCAGCCTGACTTTCTACTCACCCTATCTCACAGCCAACCAAGTTCATTAAGACAGGTAATCAAGGTTATATTTGAATATAAAGGACAGGAAATTTGAAATTTCCATGTCATTATGTATTTTTTTAAAAAACAATTTGAGAATTTATTGCATTCTAGTATAGAACAGATGTATTGGCATTATTATAACTTCTAGCCTGAAAAGTGAAATTAATTTGAAGGTACTGACTAAATGAGTCTATACAATGTCATATATATGTTCATATATATATATATATATATATATATATATTTGTGTGTATATCTATCTATATAAATATATATATATACATATATGTATGTAATGTATTTACTGTATCTGTTGTCAGAGCTCACACCAAGTTTATCATGTAGGTAGAAACAATTCTCCAAAATTTATTTTGATTTTTTTCTATCTCTAAAATCCATAATTATTATTAATTTTGGTAGGAATATCAGCACTAACTTATTTTTCTCATAATCACTTGGGGGTCTCTTTGAATTTATTCTGACAATTTTTTTTTCCTTTTCAATTTAAAATAGGTCATGATACTTAATGCATATATTTTCGTAAGTACCTACCAGAAATTTTGAGTGATTGAAATGTCTTATGGTTCCCTTAAGCTATTAGGCTAGGCCTAGAGAGAAAAGGATATTTATAAGAAGTTCTTATCAAATAAAAATTGAAAATATTCTTATTAATTTATTTGTAGTAAATAATTCTTTGCTTTTTTATTCATGGTCTAATCCATATATTCTACTCACTATTTCCATGATTAAGTCTTATAAATTAAGCACTAACTTTATCTTTTTATTTTATTTATTTTAGGCAACAATTTCTCACATAAAAGGAGCTTTTGATTACTCTACTTTTTTATAAGTGAACTCTGGGACAATAATTGGGTCTATAGCAGAAGGGAAAAAAATTGGTTGTGGTGGGGTTTAGTGAAGTTGAAGGCATGAAAATTCCTGCACTGGCATGCCTAAAGTTTGCAAGTTCTTTTGGTAAATATGATATCACTCCTCCTACTGGCTATACAGAAGGAGAATGAAAAATAAAACAAAAGGTTATAGGCTTCAGTGCAAGGTAAAACTTGAGAAGATTATAAAGCAATAGCATTGAGATGGAAGGCAAACATTTTATTTAAGAAGTGCTTTCATTAGTTTTCTAGATCATAAACTATCCTTTAGTAAAACTATGAATATACCAGCAAAAGTGATTCTCTTAATACCTGCTTTTAATAAATGGTGTTTAGAAGAATTTGCAGCATATAGCAAGCCCTCAATAAATATTTGATTAACTGAGTGAATTGAATCTTGACTAGGAAAATGTTACAGGGTGAAGAAATAATGATTGTTGGTGGAAACATAATAAAGTTTGCACTAAAATTCACAATAGTGATGGACCCTTTAAGCTCTCAGTTTTGATTTCTGATAGCAAAATGTTCTAAGGAATGTTACCGTAATGTCAGTTTCAGGAGCTGTGCCTGTGAGAGGATCAAAGTCCAGTTGCTGCTGTCTTCCTTGCATAACCTGAAAAAATTAGAAAATTAAAATCTAAATTATTGCTCTATAATAATAAGTTATTTTACCATCCAGAACAGTTAAACACTCTTCAATGTCTTAAATTAGTTTCATAAAAGGAAAAAAAAAAAAGATTTGAAAAGGAGGAAACAGCTCCTGACATTATGGAATTGACTTGATCCAACAGTCTGCTTCAGTCAATGTTCTTAGCAACTGATCTACCATATCCTACCATGGTGTGGTCCCTGATGACTTGAAACAATTTTTTAGAACTCCAATATTACACAAGGTTTTTTTTGAACATGATGGAGTGAGATAAAAAGCAGAACCTTTCAAAATCTTGTCTAAAGCAATGTCATTGTTCAAGCTGGGAAATACCAAACATCTCTATATTCTGGCTAATAGGAGTGGCTGTTGCTTCTTTACCAATCACAGATTTTATCTTGCACCATTATTCTTGTCTTCTAGATAAGAATTGTTAAGATGTCCAATCATAAAACTACTCTTACTTCCTGAGACACTCAATACAAAGTGAACCGTCACTTTAGTCTATATGAGTGAGGTCAGAAGAAAGTACTGTATCCTCTATGACCAACAGTTAAGAGCACTGAGTTTTGTACTTTCTTAAACTTTCCCTAAAATCACCTAATAGGAATCTAAATGCTAAATCATTCCAATACCTTCTTACTAAGGGTAAGGTCAATACTCATTACTTCTTTAACCTACAGTTTCCCAAAATGTGAGTTATTCCTCATTACAATGAGTGGGAAAATCCAAATTTGTCCAACTAGTGTTGTGTTCCTGGTGATCTTTGGCTGCAGGACATTGTAGATTTAAAAACTCACTGCTGTCGACTTGGTCTTGACTCATAGCGACCCCTCATTGGGTTTCCGAGGAGTATCTCTACAGACAGTCTTCCTTCCAAGAAGTGGCTGGTGGATCTGAACCCCTAGCCTTCTGGTTAACAGTCAAATGCCTTAGGCACTATTCCACCAAAGCTCCCTTGGTAGATTTAGCAGATTATAATTAACATATGTTTAATGGTATGTTTTTTAAAAATGAGAAGTGTGGATTTACTTACAGGTTCTGCTTGTTGTGGGGTATATTCAAATTGTGTGTAAAATGGTACCTGTCAGATTTTTGAAAAATGTATTAGATGATTTTTGTCATAAATGTATGTCTTTTTACACATACAAGTCTTTTTATATTCCTTTTATAGTTCAACTATGCCAAGTGGTACAATTAATTATTGTTGAGTTAACAAGAACATTCTTAACACTATATGAATTCTAGGTTAAGATCTCTGTCTTTAAATTAATATGACTTAATTTGAATGACTACTTCTAGTCATTTAGATATAATTTTCAGTTTCTTTAATTGAGTTGACCAGTTTTAGAGTAGTAGTTAAATTATTTAAAAAAAAAATGAAAAAAGCATCTCCATTCCAATTAAAAGAATGCCAGTTATGCATGACCAAATTAAATGTATGTTAAAGTTCTAAAAATCCATTGGAAATACCCAAATTTATTATGTTATCTAGTTATGTCAGGATCCAGTCATCACAGACATCTAGGATATCCAGACCTAGTCATCACAGATATCTTTCAGCATGGTGGTTATTTTTATTTTATCATTTTAAAAATAATTATATTTATCTTATATGCACACAAATATATGTATATATGACAAGAAGAATGCTAGTACATTTTAAAAGTGACAAATTTTTTTTTTCCTAAGGTGATTCAGCCTTTAGTCTCTTATTTTATAGAAGACCATTTTCTTCTATAAATCCAGCTTTAGAGTTTTACCACATGAGTCAGTCAGAGGAAAGTACTATATCCTCTATGACTAACAGTTAAGAGTGTTGAGTTTTGCACTAAATATACTCAGTGCTTCTCTTCCTGGAAATGTACCTGATCTTCTCCAGTCTCAGGTAGAAAAAAACAGAAGAAAATAAAACGTTTAGTCTACCTGAGCCTCAAATGACTGTTGCCCTGTTTGTTGAGGCAATTGTGTAGAGGTGACTGTTTGTAGAGTTTGTTCCCAGAGTAGGTAAATAAACACTGGATTGTATTGAAACATCTGTTTGTTAAGAAGCAAACAAACAAATGGAATCTGTTTGTGAGTAATATAATCCATTTAATTTTTAAAATCTGCATAAGATTCCTTTAGATAAACCTGGGCCATCTTTTTCCTTTTCTAAAGTCAATATTGTTTTTAATTTTTTTATTATTATTAAAAGTGAATAAAGGAATACATACAGAAATACTTCCTAAACTGTAAGAAAAACATGCAGCCCACATGACAAAGGACTTACCTTTAAGGTTACTTGGTCAAGCACATTTAGAAAATAATGGGATCAATGAGGTTTTGTAAAAAAGACATCATATAGGCATTGTATACAAATTGCTTCACAAAGATCTAAGAGAAGGATAGACTAACAGTTTTTCTTTTTTTTTTTTTTTTGAGAATCATTATTCAGTAGGACATACTGTTAGAAATTATACCACAATGAATGAAATACTAAGAATTTATTACCTTTAATTACTACCATATTATTGATATAATCTGTTGGCAGTTTTGAACATTCTGAAAAATCCAGAAATTGAGAAAGAACAAATAAAATCAACTACAATTTCACCACTCAAATAATCATGTATCAACTTCTGCTTACATGTCTTTGTGTGTGTCTGTAGGCATTATGGAAAATCTGGATCAAAGGATATACATACAATTTTGTATGTTTTTTTTTTCTTGCATCATCAAGTAAGAAACTGTTAGATAAGAGAGAGTTAAATAAAAAAACAAAA